GCTGTTAGAGTTGTGCCTGTTTGCAGCTCTATGTCCAGCCCCACCCAGCTCACTGACATCACTGGTTGCCAGGACTCCAGCCACAGCGTTCCGCTCAGCTCCCTGGCAAACAATGACGTCTCTGAGCTGGACGGGAAGCCGGACAGAGCATCACATGTTGCTTAGAGCTCTTAGCAACCTAGGACACTGTGGCCGCCCCTCTGCTGCTTCCCACCCCCGCCTCCCTAATAAGATGCCCACCTGAGACTACTGCCTCAAGCTGCTTCATTATAGGGAGGGCCCTGCCAACGTTTAACATAGGTCCCACAGATCACAGGTACTTGCCCCAGCCCACAAGCATGGCTAAACTCCCGAGCCCTTCCTGCTAATTTTAGAATTGCCAGATTTATAGCCTCTATTTAAATGTTGTACCCTCTGCCTGCCTCCTTCCAAAGTCAAAGTCTGCAAAGTAAAAAAAGAAGACTTATGCACAACTGTTCTTGATTCACTGTCCACCTAGCTAATACAATCATAGACTCACCTTTTCTGAAATAAGATTTTAAAGTCAAGCATCAGGGAGTCATACAACACCAATTATTGAAGTTATGTATTAATTAAATTAAAGGTAATTTTGATCCTACAAGTGTATTTATCATGGTAATCCTATGTAATCCCCTGTACAGATGCACTTAGGCTGGGGGGGAGAAACAGCCAGTTCTATGAGCCAGTGCTGACAGTCATGTACTGATAATGAGTGTATTCACCGAAGTAGAAAGCAAAGTAAGAAGAGGGAGGACCTCATCACTGTGCTACTGCACTTTCATTGTAAATATCATTAGGATAACGGTGTGTTCATATTAAAGCTCTGCCTCTGTCGCAGCAGAGGTCGAGGACCAGACTATGCTGTCTGGCAGGGAAGCCTCGATCACAAAGCTGGCAGTAAAGAATTATAGATCCTTTGCAATGAAAGAAGTAGCCATTACTTTATTTCAAGTGTGTACTTAGCAATCGTGCCTCTGCTTCAGAATTAGCATTATCATTACCATCTTGTCTTGAATTGTATTGTGATTGTAATGTCTTCCTTATATTGTAAAGCGCTGTGCAAACTGTTGGCACTATATAAATCCTGTATAATAATAATAATCATCATTAAATCACTTACAGCTGGACCGGGAGCTCCGACTGGACCCTGAAGACCGGCTGGTCCTGGTGGACCCTATAAACATAGAAAGAAATACATTGCTATGATTCATTCAATACAGTTTTAAACATTTATTCCATTATTCATCTAAATAATTTATTATGAGTATTATCCACGCCGAAGGCTCCAATTGAGGATTATAAATGTTACTCTTTATCTACAATTGCCCTTTTTTTGTATTCACTCAAGGGTACACGTATAATGCGTTTGTTAAACTAGGAAACCATCAACATTTTGGTTTTATTCAGATCGGCATTCGGATCAGAATTAAACACGTTCATTAACATGCATTCAACAGCAAACATAACTGCAGTGCTGTAGTATTTTAAGCATGGATATGCCATGAATAAAATTATCTAGACATTCCATACACACTATTAAAAACTTTGGAATGTTCAGTCTAGAATGTTTTAATGTTCCTGTGTGCCACAAAATATCTGTGACTATTCACAATGCATAACTGTATAGGGAAAGCTCTTTTTTAATTATTGCATACACAGGGTCTGTTTCCTGCTTTGCAGAGCTACAAACTGGTTGTGCTTTACTGTGCTAGATGCTCTGATGAAGGGGGCATGGCCCCCAAAACATGTTCAGCTTACAACAGTCGGGATGGAGAGACTTACTGATCTGTGTGATCTCCCGATCCTGGCTAAATGACACGTAATTCGTATTCAGCAGCATAGCCGCACTTGGCGCTTTTCAAGATGCAATGTTTGTGAGTACGATTCATACTATTTTTTATCATTTTAATAAACGATTTTACACTAGGGCAGAAGCCCTGTGATTTTCTGTTTTTATAGGCTGTTCAGTTCCCTGACTGCTAATGGGGCTGCCTTCTATATTGGTGGTTACTAAAGGACAAATATGCAAATCCTGTGGCTGATGTGAAATGTGGTGGTTGTGCTTTACTGTTCTATCTTAGAATGCATGTCAACCTATTGCAAAGAATGCACTTTCTGTGTGGCTGATATTTATTACAACAATTAAACAAGAGGGTAAATATAGAACAGTCACTAGTGGTTAATCCATGTAGCTCTATATTTATTGCAAAAGGGAAATAATAGAAGAGAAAGAATGTGAAAGTCCCACCAAGAGTCATTTTAAGGTAAACACTTTGAATAAAAACTCGAAACGTGTGCTCACTATACTTTACTTTCCCATTAAAAGCCCACACTAAAAACTCCAATTTTAAACAACATTCATCAACAAAGGCAAGTGTCTCTGCACCACTAATCTTCCCCGAGGCTTGTCTTTGGCAGGGTTAGAATTGTAGATGCAGCCATATGGGCAGATTTGGAAATATAGTATACTCGTATTGGTTATATTATGTTCCTTTCAGTTCTACTTCTTTTTTCAAGCTTTCTTTATTTGGGAAATGGCTATATACTGTATATGTGTACTTCTACTTTAGTTTAAGGAGTAGCTTTGTGTAGTTATATACATGTGAAAGCATTAAAAATCAATACGAGTGTGACATCTAGAATAATGGGGAATGGAGCCAGTTTACATAGCTTGTAATAGATGTATTTTAGCATTTATGTATTTGATTAAGACAAACCTTAAGAAAGACCATATTTATACACTCACCTGTTCTCCTTTGTCTCCTTTTCCTCCTTTCTGGCCAGGCTCTCCTATTTCACCCTGCAAACAGATAAGGTGGTCATTTTAGGGGATATCCCAGAAGTATATGGGTGTGAACGTCATTGTAATGGGAAGGAGCTGGCACTGTGTTTATCGATTCCTCTTCATATTCTGACAGCTTAATCCCAGCATTGATTAGTGTGGGACTCCCTGGGATTTTCTGCTAATTCTAATGGAGGTTTAAATAAATGATCAGTGGCTCAGACAGGTAATGACAGGAAGGGTCAGCAAACATTACCAATAAGATCTCAGAAGCTGACATTAGTGACTTTATTGCTGGTGTATAAATGGCAGAGTAATTGGTTCAAAAAATGAAAGTAATATGAGCAAATATTACAACTTTACTGGTCTTGATGAAGTATTATCATTTAGCAGACTGTATCATCAAACTATGGCAGTAGCATTACTGACTTCATAAACTTGGAAGTGTTGCCCCTCATACATAGTACTAAAATGGGCCTGATTCTGGCTACAATATCTGATCCTTCCACATTTGTGATAGTCTGTTTTACTAATGTTTATTTGAGAACAAAGGACCTGTCTAATGAGCTCTGGCTGAACACAGCTACTTGTATAGCATTCTCTGGCTTTAAAAAAGTGTTACCTTGTCACCGTCTTCACCAGGTGGTCCCTGAGGGCCGGCAGGTCCTGGGAGACCCACAGGTCCTTGTACTCCATCTCGGCCAGCTGGTCCCTGGGGTCCTTTTTCTCCCTTAAATTAAAGAAAGTATAGACTTATTATATGAACACAAATTACAAAAAGAACACCAAAAGCATTGTGAATTAAAATAAAACACCAGACAACAAGTAAAATCAGTTGAAAAACTGGAGATCTAATAAGTAATGATTGCAATTTTTCTCATTGGCCTACTTAGTTTACTGTTATTTGAGTTTTATATAATCACTTTCTCCTAGTTCTCATGTGTTCTTCTACGTGGGTTTCTAGTATCTGGTCACAAGATACTGTGTAGTCTACTCTCCTGGTACTCCATCTATATGGGACTAGTTTCAACAAGTCAGTGGGACCTGGGACATAAACCAGTACACAATAGCCCACATTCTTTAGAACACATATTCAGGACTTTCATAAAAAGAAGGTATACGCTGCTATAAGAATAAAGACAGTAATGTGGTCAGCTACATAAGAAAAGAGTCTGGATAAAAATTAGAGCCAATTAGCAGGTAAACAAAACTATGCAGACTAACTGATGTAATAGGAAAATAAGCAGCACTACCATCCCTTTTAAAATACAAGAGTTTAAAAAAAATATGAACAGAAATAAACTCCTATTTCAGTGAATGTCATCAAATTGAGTTCAAATGATGTGCAGGTTTCTTGCAAAAGCAGTAAGATAGCCAAAATAGGCAGGGGATGAGGATGGTCAACAGACCACCTCCAGGTTCCTACTATTGCAAGCAAGCAACATTTGAATTTCTCAGCAAAATTAAACATTTAAAGAACGTGTCTACCTCCTACTAAACTTAGCTAAACTGAATTGCCCTCCTCCACCACAGTTGCTTTCTTACCTCTGTGGTAAACATTAAACAATTAAATCATCAATGTGTGCGAGTTTACAAAAGGTCCCCATAGAAAAAAAGAATCACTCCTCAATGGTGCATTATGCAACCAGTGACTGTTACTTCAATATAAAACATATAAATTAGGTATTAAAACTACATTAGGCTACTCATTATTGCTGAAATAGCCAACATCAGTCAGTCTGGCAGCTTGATACTGTTATATTTGGTTAGCAGTTGATAATGTTAAATGGTAAACTAAAATGATAAATACGTTGCCAGCCTGATGTTTTTTTCTCCGAATTTATAAAATAAGTATCATTGTTCTTTTCTCAGCCTGGCATATTAGTAAGAACAAAGATAAACCTGTGATTGGAATAAATAAGAAGAGCATTGCATCTCTCCTTTTAATAAAAGATGGTTGCCATTTCTCACATAATCAATACTCAGTACTGCAAAGAAATGCCAAAGGTGACAGAGCGGCATTCGGGTTGTCTGTTCTGCTCGGTCCCTCAGCAGAACAGAAAAATAGTTTTAAAAGTTTTTTTAAAAAAATTGAAAACGATTGTGTGGAGCTAGCAATGACAGCTAGCTCTGCCCAACCGTTTTCTATTGGCCGGTGGTTCTGCTGCCGTAAAAAAAACGAAAAACTCTCCCGGGCGCTCTGGGAGTCTCCCGCTCCCGGCCGCCCAGGAGAGAAACACTGCTTTTTCTTTTTTTTTCTTTATTCTGACACGGAGTCGTGTCAGAATAGAAAACAAAACATTTTGCCCATAGAAATGCATTGCTAGATTCCTATTGGCTATTTCAATTTGCAATAGCCAATAGTAAACTAGCATTGTACCCGCCCTCTGCTGATGGACCTGATGGAGAACTGCAGCAGAGGGTGGGTGCAATGCTAGTTCACTATTGGCTATTGCAAATTGAAATAGCCAATAGGAATCTAGCAATGCATTCCTATGGGCAAAATTTTTATTTTATTTTTCTATTCTGACATTGCTCCGTGTCAGAATAAATAAAAAAAAAAGAAAAAGTAGTGTATCTCTCCTGGGCGGCCGTGAGCAGGAGACTCCGGGAGAGTTTGCTGTCTGGAGATCAGTGTCCCTGGTTAGCTGGTAACTAGGGACGCTGATCTCTCTGTAAGTGGCCGGAGCCAGTCGTAAGATCACGGCTGGCTCCGCCCAGCTGTCAGAAACAGGCTGTCGGCCGGCCAGCTTCGGCTTTCAGCGCGACTCAGCCGAGCCGAGGCATATGCCTTCGGCTCGACTGAGCCGCTTGGCTAAGTTCGGGAGCTGTACGGGCTATAGTGAATAGCCCGTACAGCAGCCCTTCGGTTCTACTGAACCGAAGGGGTCCTGGGGCCGAAGCTAGCCGAAGGATCGGCCGAAGCTACGGCTAAATCCTTCGGCTGCTTCGTGAATAGACCCCATAGTGTCAATGCAATACTAGATACCAGAACAAAAGATTCTGACAGAGAAACAGTACTCTTGCAATGCCCTTCACCATTGTTGCACACAGCTGACAATATAACACGTATTCATCTCTGCCAGGGGATCAATGGATGATCTTATACTTTCAACCGTTCCCATAGATGCTATCCCTAAGCCTTGCCTTCTTCCCACCAACTCTTCCACCATATGCATCTGGAAAACTGTCAGTGACAACACCAGTACCAGCAGGGGCAATTCATGTATTTATTTTAGTTCTGACTTACTACTTAATATGCTACTTGAAAACCTAGCCCACAATCCAGACTTCTTTGCTACTTACTAAATAGCATGGAGCTTCCCTCTACTCCCCCTTTAATGAAGATGTGTGCTCTAGTACAGTCCATTAACATTAATATTGTACTATAGTGCTATTCTGGCAGCACGGCATCTTTCTGGCTATAGTTTTTTTGGTGGTGTAAAAGAACACTGCTGTGGCTTTGGTAATTTGCAACTGATTTACTAGCAATAAAGTCCAGAGTTTACTATGGACTAGCATAAGAAGATTCCTTGTTTTTTCCGTCTAGGATCCCATTCTGTCTAAAACTGTTCCTTTTTACTCACAGGCTTGCCATCATTTGGTTCATTAAAAGCCTAATGGGGGAGGGGTGTTGCTTATTAAGTAGGTGTGCCCCAATAGGGGTAGCTAAATCCCTGCAAGTTAGTCATAATATGCATATTAGAACAGAAAATTTGATCACCTTCCAAAGACAATTGTACTTTAAAAATAAAAAGATTGACATATACATACATCAGTACCTTTGTCTGAAAGGTAACATCTGTGTGTTCTATTTATTTATTAGAAAAAAATAATTTTAACTGAAAATTGAATGCAATAATATCTATACTAAAAAAACCAACACCACTTATTAGTGAACCTCTAAATTATAAAACCTACTGTATGAATGTGACTCATTTCACACTGTCTAATTTTGGCATGAAGCCAAATAGCTGTTTTCCTTTTTTTTAAATGAAAAGAAATGTTCTCGAGTTTAATAAAATAACATTATTGAATGCTATCCTTTTCAAATTAAATATAAACCATCCATGGCAATGAGTCATTTGTCAACAGCAGTCAAGTTTATAAAGAATAAAAAATTGCGTTGGCTTCCTAATTTCAATATCTCTGACTAAAGAAGTGGACATGGGCAGACTATAGGTGAGCACAGAACTGAATCTGTCCTATTCAACCAGTGCAGGGTATGGTCATGGGTGGTCGCAGGAGACCTACTGAGTAAGTGAGCTGCTGCTCTAGATAGAGCTATAGAGGGCAGGCAGTAGGTGCATGGCAACAGAGTCAAAAAGTATTGGACTTAAAAAAAAATGGCCCCCACTGCTTAAACGGGAAAGCAGAATTAATATGCAGATTTGTGATAACTGGTTGGTTACCCTATTCACACACATTTTTAACAAAATACTACACTCTATCATGGTACTTCCTGGTCGGTGTATATTTCCACTGAGAGGCATAAACTTCATAGAAAGAAGTCCATACCTTGCCTCTACATACCAACACACTCTAGCCCTCTACCATATCTGAATCTGCTGTGAACTTCTGTGACAATCCTAACTAACATGCCACCATGTCCTCTGACCAAGCAAGTGCTCTGATCAGTGGCTGGTCTCCAGAAAAGGGGCACATTTTAGGTCCTGCCACTAGTGACTAATAACGACTCCTATTAAATGGCCATTGCACATCACGGACTTTGTCCTTTGAAGAACCTGCACAATAGCACAAGCTGCATGGGCAATATACAGTATGACAGCATTACAAACACTCATATAAAAATGTTTGAATCTGCAGTAGTGTGGTTACATTTTGTATTTTAACAAATTACAGTGTTTCTCACCAGTATACACTGTATATTGTTGTTATCATGGACTATTTATGTTTCTGGCTACTGTTAATAATTTGTTCATGTTTTTTGAGGTTGCACTGCATATGATTTATTTTATTGTAACTACTGTTTATGTTCCCATGTTGCTATTTGGCTCTGTACTGAGTAAATCTGCCATCTTTCCCACTGTTGTAATGTCTCTGTGTCAATATACTGCATGAGCAGCTCAGCTTTTGCAGACATTACATTTAAACCATTAATGTATGCAACAAGTACTCCTATAACCTCACAATAACAAATTCTGTGTCACCTTCTGACACTCTTTTTGAATAACAATTCTGCAGATTTTCTGCCTGAATCAGTGAAAACCTCCACAAGCTAAAACACAATAAACAAGGTCATCGGGAGCTGGGACTAGCAAAAAGAACAACTTACCACGGCGGGCTCCGCCCAGCTGTCAGAAGCAGGCTGTCGGCGGGCCAATGGCCGGCCGCTCGGCCAGCTTCGTCTTTCAGCACGGCTCAGCGCTCGACCGTGATCGGGTGTGTTCGCCGGAATACATTGGCTGGGATCGGTTAGGTTCGCCGGGTTGCTCATCTAAGATCGGGTGTGTTCGCCGGAATGCTCGGCTGATGTCTCGGTCGTTGGGTTCGGCTAATGGTTCGGCTGCTTTCGCGGGCTGTACGGGCTTTTGTGAATAGCCCGTACAGCACCCCCTCGGTTCTCCTGAACCGAAGGGGTCCTGGTGCCGAAGCTAGCCGAAGGATCGGCCGAAGCTACGGCCAGATCCTTCGGCAGCTTTGTGAATAGACCCCTTTGTGTGAAAGCAATTGGCATTTGAGTTAACAGAGATATGCAGTACAACTTTTATTCATCTGGGGATATTACTTTAGCTTTTGCACAGGTTTACAAACTACAAATGTTGTCTTAGAATACATTTTTTGCCTAGCTACTCTTAACTCTTCATCTCAAACACGCTTAGCATATGCCAAAAAGAGCATTTATCAGTTTTAGATTTGAAGTCAAGTCCATTAAGGTTCATGGGTGCCAGAAAAGGGATCCGTCACAGAACTGAAATAAATACAGTGGGGAAATAACAAATGAGCTGTGGCATTACTCCAGTCAAAACATTTTGTTTTTCAGTTTTAAACAGGGTGAAATTGCAATACACAACGCTTGGTGCCTAACAGCCAATAACCAGTACTGATCACTGTGAAGTTTGGGTTGGGGGAGGGTCCTTTGCACTGTATCCCCAACCAGAATTACTTATAACTTATTGAGGGAATTTTTTACTTTGCTCAAGCAACAAACAAAAAAAAAGGCAGGGAAGCGAAAGTAAGAATAAGCAGCATAGAGTTATGGACCTGATGCCTAGTGAGGTAGCCCATCATAGCGATAGGGCAATAGGAATATATAGGGAAGGGAAGGGAAGGAGCAGGCAAGATTCAACACTGAGAAGTGGTAGAGATTTGCCATGATTCAGTCAGAGAGGGGGGAAGGGGCTAAAATCCATTGCAGGCATGTACAGGAAATTCCTTTAACTAACTTGTATTAGTCTTTTTAATTTCCTGGAAACATTATGAGAGTTTGGGTTATCATACATGGGGCTAGAATGAATATCACAGCTTTCGACACACTTTTCTTTCAACAAATGTTTTAGGTGTGGTTAGGTATTAAATGCTGATTTTTCAGTATAGCGAAATACTCACAGGAGCTCCCTTCTCTCCTGCTGGTCCTGGTGGGCCCTGAGGACCAGGTCTTCCAGGTAAACCAATTGGTCCAGCAGCACCTGCAGCTCCTCTTTCTCCACTAGAACCCTACAAAATAAAATCAAGATAATCATTCATATAATTTTTTCATGCATACACAGTGAGCTGGGTTTCAACATGTTTCCTCATGTTTTAATACTTTGAGTCACTGAGCTGAAACAAGCATACAGCAAGCAAATTCAGAGTGAAGTCAGATGTCCTAATTTGCATAGTTTCTTTTCCTGTTAAGTGAGCCAGACGCTACTGAATCTACTAGATCAGCATGACAGCAAGGCATCTAACTTTTTTCAGAAGGAGCAATCAGCAATGGCAGCCTGCATATTCACTTAGTATATGCTTTGTTTAAATATATTACATGGCTATTATTTTTTGTTGGACTAGCAGACTACATTGTTACCCTGCAGTCCTAAGACACTTTTTTTTTATCCAGCACTATCTTCTATTACTGAAAATCCATTGGGGCTTGATATATTGCCCAGACAATGTCCTGTTAAAGCATTTGACTATGTTGTTGTAGCTTACATTTCATTTATTATTGGCATTCCAATGTGTGTTAGTTAGCTTCTTTATCTTGTCTTTGTAAATGTGGTAGACTCCTTCATTAATTTATTTGAAATTTAAAATAAATTTGCTACTTTAATTTGTATAGCTAATAATTATTGCTCAACAAAAACAGGAAAAAAACAAATACACTTACTGAGTTTCATTTTAGTTGTATGCATTATGATAAATTAGGTTTATCTTGCAAATTTCTTTCACATTTAAATGTGAGGCTCTTTGATTAGCCACCTGACATAACAATTATCTCAATCTAAAGATACAAAGCAAACTGAAATTCTAACATAAATTTCATGTGGTGGATATGCTATACAGGTACAAAAAAGGTAAAACCTATATATAAAAATGTACCATAGATTATCCAGGATCCAGGCGATCCCTTAGGACTAATTTCTTCAGGGAAGCCTATCCCACCTCAAACTAACCACTGAGCCATCATATTCTCAAACAATTCATCCCACACAGCTACCTCCTCATGTATCACCATTTAGACTGTAAGCTCTCATGGGCAGGGCCCTCCTAACCATCTTGTCTTGAATTGTATTGTAATTGTAATTTCTTTCTTACATTGTAAAGCGCTGCGCAAACTGTTGGGGCTATTAAAATCCTGAATAATAATTGTACTTACTATACAATAAATACAACTATAAGACATCAGACAGGTCCTACGGTAACCTTACTTTTTCACTATATACTAAAGGTGCTCGCTATCTATTAATAATATATGCATTTACATTTTGTTAAACTCAATGACAATATCCTTCAATAGTCACAGAGAGATTCGTACTTACAATTGGACCAGGTGGACCCTGTGGACCTTCTCCACCTTTTAATCCTGCAGGACCCTGTAACAAAAAAGAGAGATAGCAATGATCTAAAATCATCTAGATATGATAAATATTATCTTTTTTAAGTACTTGAAGTCCGGGGTGTTAAATCCCCTTCCTGTCCAGGCCATTTTTCAGTATTCAGCCCTGCAACTCTTTGACTGACATTTATGCTGTACTGAAATTAATTTTATACCAGTTTTTGGGGACACAGAGATTTCTTTGGTGGTATTTAATCACCACTGGGGTTTTTATTTTTTACAATAGTAAGGACAAATTACCGAAAATAAAAAAAAAAACGATTTCCCCTATATTGAATTATAAAACATTTATTATTACCCAATTTTTGGGTAAAATATAAAAGAGAAGCTACTGCATGATAGCATAGACTATATTGAAGATGTCTGCGATAAATAAGGCAACTGCTGTATTTACAATCATGTCAACATGCTCACTTCGTCAAAGTACTTTTTTCAGTCAGAATATAATAATCCAGCACTATAAAAGTATTATACTCAAATATCTTATAAACTATGAAGCTACCTCAAACATTGATGCAGCTGAGCTTTACTTTGTTATGATCTGAATGTAATTCTATGTTATGCCCTTTTTTCATGTTATGGTGCACCTTCTTACCTGTGCTCCAGGAAGACCTCTCTCTCCAGAGAATCCACGAAGGCCTGCCGGACCATCTTTACCAGAGACCCCTTGAGGACCAGGGTCTCCCTGTAAATTTAAACAAGGTTTATAATGAAATAACGCTGATACATTTTACTCAACAATACAACCTACAGTAACATATTCTATCAAATCAGTAGATTTTGGTCTTGTGAAGATAATGATTACAAAATTATATCACATGGAGCAGCATATATTATTGTAATGTAAATGTTGCTAACCAAATGTTGCTAACCATTCGTCTACATAAGTTATATAGAATGTGGCAGAACACGCACCACCACTTTGTTTCTAATAAGCCTCAAACTCACCTTTGCACCCTCTTTTCCAGCTGATCCAGGTAACCCTTGCTCTCCAGGTGGGCCAGGAGGTCCAGGATGACCTCTCTCACCAATAGGACCAGTTTCTCCAGTTGGACCCTGCAAAAGATTAACATATTAGACCGGTTTGATGTACTATGACAAATATTACACTTTAGAATTAGGTGAGAAGGTATAAAAGTTGACAGAAAAAAATAGTAAACAGCAAATTCAAAATGTGTTAGCAATTTATTGTATCGAATAGTGATCAAAGAGGTTGTGATGTAATAAGGAATGTGGAAGAGAAGTCAGAAAATCAAATAAGGAAATGATCTGTACTCACCTGTGGACCTACAACACCTCCAGGACCTGGTGGACCAGTTTTTCCTTGGAAACCCTAAAGAAGTGAAGATTACAGTTCATAGCCATTTCTTATTAAGAGAATCAAGATATCTGTTGGTCCAAATATATTCTAAATAATCTCTCTAGATTTAAAGTCCACAATACCCACATGTAAAAAGAAGGAACAACTTCAGAGGAGAAAGCCTAAAGAGAACCACACTTACAATGTATTAAGACCCTTAAGATTTAGATGGACTCTCAAGTTTTGGTATCCTGTGCAAATTGTCTCAGCCTATTTTTTAATGTGTTTAGAACTGAAATAATTTGCTGTACACTGAATAGTTGGCTCCAAGATCTTCTAATGCATTAGTGACATCATACTGCTTCTACTTACCAAATCTCCGACAGTTAGAGTGCGTGCTAGCAAGCTGAAGCACATCTAGTTGGTGCCAAGCTGCATGTTCTCTGTCAGCGTGGCACAAAATGCAGCTTGGTATAAGAAGAGGTTAAATAAATAAATAAATTTAGCAATTCATTTGCCTAAAAATAAGAGCTTATGACAGCATGGAAATAAATGCTATCAAACACGTGATAAAGAGAAACAGCTATTTGTTGTTAGAGAGCAATCAAATCCAGACTGTTAATAGAGTGCAGCATAATGAGAAACATAGTGCATGATCATTTCTCATTTTACAAGCAATTGTAATGGCCACACAATTCGCTAACTTATGTTAAGCAATAAGAAAGCCAAAAGGGAAAATAATTGGTTAGAGAAAAAAAAAGTAAAATTCAATAGGTAATCTGTACCATTTTCCAAATAACAACCTACAGTGTTCCTGTCATCTGTGGACAAAGGGCAGCTACCCTGTGCCCTGAAGCATTGTATGTCAAGGCCACAAAACTAACAATTCACTTAATTGTAAGCTCTAATGTAAGCTCTCATACACTGCCTCAGAAAAATCATTTTTTTCAATAAGGATTAGTTGTCTGTGTTAATAAGAATTCTGGTTTTACCCAGAAAATGGCTTTGTCTGCTATTTACATAATGGGGATCTATGTTGTCTTTTGTGTAGCCTTCTTTTTTTAGGTTTGCAGCCTTTGTCAAAGTGCAGTATCTTTAGAGTGCTGACCAAACAAGTGGTCAACATTCTATAGTAACTGACTTGATTTCAGGTATTCAAAAATAATTCAACCCATTTTAACATTGTTGAATACAGTCGTCACAGGAATTCTAATTTATACTGGTCAGAGCTGTGGGTTTAAATAGATTAAAAGCAAACTTTGTCACATTCTGTTGAGCTTTTTCTGTAGATTAATTTATACTAATTGCTTTTTATCTTCCTTCTGCTCATTAAGGCAGTTTCACACCTGCACTACACCGCACAAAACCCGGGACGCGGGTCCCGGGATCGCACGGTCCTGTACAATGCAGGCAGCGATTGCCGCGTGGCCCCATTGATTTCAATTGGGTGACATCCATGCGGCAATCACAGAAAAAATATAAATGTACCTTTTTTTTGCGATACACGACGTGCGGCTGTTTTAGCCGTGATCGTTCGGAAGCACACGCACCCACAGCATGATCAGTTCACACCTTAGTGACCCCTGGCCGCGAGGCGATCCGCACGGAATTGTGCACGATTGCCGCGCAGTAAGGTGTTGCCTAGGTGTGAACCTAGCCTTAGGTGATTCAGAAAACAGTATAGTGATGGCATGCTCTTCCCCAAAACCAACAAAGGTATGATGGGAAAGGGAAGAAAGAAGGTAATTATATTCACATACGTATAAGAAAGACAATAATGATACTAAATATTTGTAAGCTACCTTAACAAATGGTGAATGAACAATGAGTAACATAACTAAGCTGTCCAATCAGAATTATGTTGTCTAGGGATGCTATATTATTCAAAAATGTCTGTTTATGGAAGTATTAAGTAATGCAGTCTCGTTTGGCTAGCTATTATTTCTTCATATATTTGGTCCTCTGCGCATATATAATACTGTAATTATATCCCTATTTAGCTGATGGACATCATATAATCACTGGGGAGAAAATTGATGGTTTACCCTCACCAAGAGGCTCGTTATAAAGTTGGGATATAAATATTTATTGGATATAAAAAACACCCTGGATTTCAGCAAGCTGTTAAATTAAAACTAGATCTCCAGCAGTGCAGCAAATATATGGTAACAACCACTGAAATGTATTATCAGGTTTGTAGTGCTCTAAAAGCTATGATTAAAATTATCTGGATAACTGAAAAAAACAAACACTAAGTTAAAAAAAAGTACCACTTTCTTGGATGAAACACAAGGGATGTTATTCCCAGGACCCAATTAACAACTAACTTTATATTTCCCACTGTTAGTAGGGGTCATGGAGTCTTCACAATGAGAGGAGGCCCCTGTGAAACAAGAATGTTATCAGGCTGTGGCTGTGATTTAGTTAAAGTATATCCATTTTTTATTTTGGATAGAGTAGGGAAAGGTTTGATGCTTCATGTGTGACCCATAAGGAAGAATTACCTTCCTTTTTTGTCCTAAAGACACAACAGAAAGTGAGAAAAAATGTATCCAAAGTAAGGGAAATCCCCTCTCAGACAGTTGTCACCAGCACAAATCCCCTCCAAGTGAAGATTTCCCCCTCTATTCTTGTTTTGGTGACAACTTAAACATTTTGGAGTTTCTCTTTCAGTCCTAGTGACAGTGGTTAGCAGCACAAAAAGTGAGAGTGATTCTTTCTGGCAGGGACACAGTCAGCAGTAAAACCTAATACGTATTCTAACCCTTCCCTACTTCATCCAAAGCTAAAAAATGGTCTTTAGATACATTTTACTTACTGTGAGCCCATATAGCTAAAGGTACACTAATGCTCTCTAGTCAAAGGCAAGATAAGCAACCATAATGTGTCTGCCTGCTAAATGCAGACTTTCATGTGAGGAAAAGGAAACCATCATCAAAATATAACATGACTAAGTTGTATGTTGAAACATGTATGTTATCCTCTTTGATTATTATATCCACAGTATTAATAGTACATCTTCGCTATTCAGTTTTGAGATTGGCTGCCACAGGGCAAAAGAGATTGAGACAACGGTCAGCAAGACAACTAACTGGGAAATGGAATGACTTTCAATAAATGTACTGCACCTGTTTCAACAAACACATTAGCTGGAAAGAATGAAACAGATGAGTGGAGAAATTCTAAAGCTTAAAATGTGAGGAAAATATGTGTGTTGTAAAATTCTTTGTATTTTAGTTGTATCATAAAGCTTGGTGACCAAGATACTGGTTTTAGAATAGCAACAAAATAGCGAATGACAGACCACTATAGGCAGATCAGCGGAATGCTGCACTGCATAAAATGAAACATCAAAAGAGACTATTTTGATGATAATTTCCATTAGAAATACAATAAACAAATTGAAGGTTTTTTGTGGGGCTAAAGCAAATAGTGATGATCCTGGAATGAACCTGCAAGGAAAGTAGTGGGTAAAGCAGCACAAGCAACATATTCAATGAAGAAGCAAATGGTTAGAGTTATTTGCATACTGCCATATTTATGAAGCAATTCTATGAACATATCTGAAGCAAATGTATTAGCCGAGCCATTAATGGGAGATGCTTTGAAGATCAATGATCCCGTATCAGTGAATAGTATGGAAATTAGGTGTATTATTGGTTCTTAAACTGTCTCCTCACAAAACAGTTAAATATAGTTACACATTCTAAAATATATATTTGAAGCCCACATTCATTATTCTAAGCAACTGAAAACTGTAAGACAGAAAATAAATAATATCCTAAAGAGGTAAAGTTTAATATTTTTGTGATTTGATCATGTTATTATAATTATTTGTTGTGTCTTATGTGAAATGTTAAAATTTGGCTGTGTGCTGTGAAACTATAGACATGTCTGTGTCTACAGAAGGTTGGGTCTATTGTATTCTGACAGTAGTGGATGTGCCACTGCCGAAATACCCAGTGACTGTAGCTGATTGTCTGCAGTCACTGTGCAGCCAAGATTTTTTGATAAGGCTCCTTTGACAAAATTCATTTGAAAAAACAACTTTTGTCAAACAGGGTGAGTGAGAGTGTGTGGGGGGGTTCCCACGATGTCACACACTGGTTGCATTTCTGAGACCTGCTGATTCACTTGAAATTTAAGCAGTGGTGGCTGGTGTCAGAACTACTCTAAGGTCTAAAGGAGATTTTTCCAGTCCAAATATTTCCAGATCCATTAAACTGTGCTAAATTAATACAATGATATGAAATACTTTTTAATCACATAATTAATTCAGCTAGGCTAAATAAAAATGGAAAATCAAGGAAGGAAAAGGTAAAAAAAACAATATCATTTGGTTGTACTTAAGGGAAACCTTTAAAGAAAGACATGTAAGCTGCCATTTCTGTTTCTCATTCTGCAATTGCTAGTTTCCTGGCTGTCATATTCACCCTCTGGCTTTTGTGTCCCTTATTGGAACAAGCATGCAAATAAGGATACCTGACTCGCCTCTGATTTTACAGATATGCCTACTTGTTCCAGAAAAAAACCTTATTGAACCCAGCTGGCCATTGTACTAACCAGACAACTAGCACCTTCAGAAGGGAACTGTTAATGGCAGCCCTAATGTGTCTCTCAGGAAAGGTTTACTTCATTAATGTTGGGAGGCAGCTAATAAAAGAGCCCACAAAACTAACTCCAGGTATAGCAGTGAGGGCTAATTTACTCAGCAGCCTAGGCAGCCCACATATGAGTATTAACAGCAGTTGGACCCCCCACCCTTCTGAAATAAAGTATGTGCTACTTGCTATAAACAAGTTTAACCAGGTATGAGAACACATCAGCCCTGTAACACGTGGAGAGTCTTCCCATACCTGGCCAGGAATGTTTAGAGAAAGTAGCTCTCAGAAGGTAACGTGGGTGTGAAACAGCTGACAAACAATGGAAAGATTTAAATACTTACAGTTTCACCACGCTGTCCAGGGTGGCCGGGCAACCCATCCTTTCCAGGAGGCCCCTAAAATGGACAAAATATGAGGTTAGAGGGTCAATAAAACTTTTGTTGATATGTTGATGAGTGATAAAAACAAGTGCAGTGTCAGATTTATCAGACTTGTGCATGCGACTGAAAGTTTAAAATCCAGCATTACAGCCTATTCCCTTTTCACTTGCCATTTACATCAATTATGTAATGCAAGTCAGCAGATCTTTAATTGCTGCTTATGTTTCTGTGCAGACTAACAGAACAACTCCAAAGCAATGGATGAATCAGTTGTTGGATTTGTAATGCTATTAAGAATGTACCACAAAATGTAAAGTCAGATAGTCCTCTCAGTTACCAAAATCTGAGTGTTATGTTATTTTGTCACATCTGCTATTCTGCCACTCAAAAACTGGCAATACACTGCAATATTTCCTTTGTGCAACCTGCGGGCTAAACAAAGAAATATAACAGGTTCCTCCATCAACACTTACGAGCATTGATCAAGGAATCTCCCATCTCTTCATTGTATTCTGACAGTGGCTACTGGCTGATCCAGGGATGCCGACGGAAAGGGCACCCACTGCGCCACCCACTGTGTGACTTTCAGACCGTTCCTCAAGAACCGTCCGAAATTTGTATAGCTTTAGTGTGCTGCGGAGTAAGACTGCTGGTTCTCATCTCATGTTTCTGTGCTGTAAAAATATCTTCTCTGTATGAGAGACAGCATCAGGATCATACAATGGGTAAGACTAAGATTACTCTGCTTTCATTTTAATGTGGCTCAACACCCAGGAATCCATTAGCACTCCATTCAGAAAATTCATTTTTAAACAGTGGGGTTGCCTAATACACTACCATTATGATTGGGTGTAAATAGGAACTAGAAATGTGCACCTTATAAATGCTTTATAAGGTGCAATTTTAAATTCTAACTGTACTGTACCTTTAACTTATATTACCATTACTATATGCACTCTCTGTACACCGTTAAATTGTTAAATAACTTTTTCATTATGTGATCTTTTCCCATGTCTGGCCCCCTAAATGTATGTGTTGGGTATATGGCTTATGTTAATGCGCATCTTCACACTCAGCTTTAACTGGATAGGCTAACGGCTTTATAATATAAATATTAACATGAGAAGCAAAAAGGACAATTGTAAGCAATGTTTCTATTAACTGCATAATTAGTAGACACTACAACCCCACGTAGCGTATTAAAAATAGAATGTACTGGGTAACATAAAAGAATAATAACTTTAAGGAACAGAGGCATTCTATTACCTCTGCAGCTAACTATGCCTAATGTTCCAAGGCTATTGTCTAATTTTATTAAGTGCTTCCAGAATACCAAAGTAATTCAGAAAGGCAGCAGCAATAAATATAAAAATCTGGAGCTGCTGAAACTACAAGCTCATTTCTGTTACATATACAGAGTTAGAATGCTCAGATACTTACAGGGGGGCCCTTCGGTCCTGAGAAGCCAGCAGGGCCCTGTGGTCCTTGAGGTCCCTGGGATGCAAAGAAAGATAAAGGCAATAGTTAATAAGTTGAACACTGCAAACAATCATTAAATTCTATACACTGGTATTAAAAAAAGGTTAAGATAACAGATGATCAATGTGCTAAGTAAAGGAAAATCATATAATAGTCAACATTTCCCTATTAGCACTAAATTAGACTGTGCCCTTGGAACTACAGTAATTAGAGTAAATGAAAGATCAAACAACTATAATGTGTATAGCAATAAAGCAGACTGGAACACAGCAGATTTGATGTAAAGCCTTCTAAAGTCTGTTCTGCTTTATTAGATCTCTGCATAGCACCATCTCCAGGAAGAATAATTGAAAATAATAGAAAAGGTAACACGGAAAATTCAGTTTAGACATACATTTTGTAGATCAAAGTGAAGTATATGATGTGCTAATAGTCCAAAAATCCAAGTAAAGGTACTAATTGTAAAAATATTCACCTTGGTATTGATGATTAAATCAAAGAACCCATGGCACCTACAAGCGTAAACCAGTGGAATTTGTGCTTGAGATCAGTGACTGGCCTTAATGTCGGTGGCCTTATAGTTACACAAATACATTTAAAAGGGCAACATGTATTTGGTGTTATTAAATCTCAAATCAAAAAACAAGTGAATAAAGAATGCTATATGGATATCCATCCAATTTTTGCAAAAAAAAAAACCCGCAAAACTCTACTTTTGTTTCGAAAAAGAGTAAATGCTCTCTTGGTCTTAATATGGGGATTATAAGAATGCATATATGCCTGTTTTGTTCTTTAAATGCTGAGGTAGGTAATGTAACATTCTGAAAGCGTATAATTTTTCATGTTTTGTTTTTTTACTTTATTTTCATAAAGTGATCCTGCCAAAGACACACTTCCTGTTCTGGGGTGACAACACTCACTACACTTTGAAGGAAAAATATTGTCATCCTAGATTGCTCTCCTAATTTTGACACCTCCTCTCTCCTCATCCCCATTACATCAAATGTTTTGAGGTTTCTGTTAATATAATACAAATAGTGGCCTTAGCTCTATTATAAATGAAGCTTTAAGTGTAAAGTTTTGTCTAATATAGCCACATGAACAGCCCCAGTTTTATAATAGAAAGCCATATACCCCATGACACCCCTTTGGACTCACAGCACATTTTGATCTCCAGAAATGAATCCCTTAGTTCAGGATCTTGCTGGGGATGCCTGTAAGTTCACCTCAACTTTCAGGGAAAAGTCTAATCCATGTGCATTAGAAAACATTGCTAGGTGATTAAAACTGATGAGAGTTTTTAAGAATATGAAATTATGAAATGGCTTTGTAGCAATTATATAGATTATATATTTTATTTCCTTTTAAAAAACTATTTTTACCTTTTTATTATGCGTGGGTGCAACTTTTGTTCAAAGCAAACCTGTTACATATAATAATTGTATAAAAAGCCAATGACTGCACTTTAAGCCATTGTAATTGAAAGTAGGAGTCCATACTGAGACTTCCTGTTCCCGCATATCACTTTATTATTTCTACCAACTGTACTCAATCTTTTATCTGTTTGAGTATGGATTGTCCAATGTTCTAACATGGTATTACAAAGAATTGGAGAACTTCCTTGCTGCCCTTACACAGTCATGCTCCTGGTTTTGGCATCTAATGGTCATTATTGTTATTATAATTGGACTAATTGATTTTCAATTCCCTAAATACACAGAAGCCCGTATGAAAATGGCTTATTCTCTTTTTTTATAGCCATACTAATATGCCTTATTTGTGGTGAATAACAGAAATGACCAATTCTTATTACTGGACTTTATGAATTATGTGATTTTTTTTGGCACTAGTTGACAAGCATATGGAAAGAATCAGACATTTACCTGGAAAGTTTCAGATATGCACAATCCACCCCATTTGCCATGATTACAAGGAAAAAACTAAATTCCTACCCCTGGCTTTAATGTACTGCACATATATGCACAAACATCATGATGAAATAATTAATAAAATGTATATTATGTTAAATAGATGTATCCTGGTAATTTATTTCATAAACTGAAGTGAGGAATAAAAGTGAAAAAAGCAAAGACATTCGCATCTTTCATGTTTACATATGATATCACATGAAACATAAGGAGGATTTACGCTGTGTGTATAGATCACACCATTTCAAGCCGCCTTGCTGTGTTAACACTAAAGTCCTGTGGGGAGCTGTAGCTTCACAGTGTGTCACTGAACAATGTGAAGATAATTACAACATCCTGCATTATTATGGAGACCGTCTGTTGTGAAGGTGCAGATAATCTTTTTTAGAGATATAGAAAACTACAATGCTTTGCAAAACACTGAGACTCAATATGGAAAAAGAAACAGCAGCAAGATCGAAGAACTGTAACTCCTTCATTTCCACAACTGGCTTTTATTAGAAAATCTTGTGTTTATGAGGCTCCCTAGCAAAAAATTTGCTGTAGCACCAGGTTCTATATCTATAGAGGCAACTAGAGCTACAAGAAGTATTCTGGCGTTGTTTCAATAAAGGGGCAACAAATGCATTTATCCGAGGGTACACCAAGTTATGGAACTTGCTTTGAAAAGGCTAGAAAGTGGGTTATTTCAGCCTATTGGTGTCTAGAGATTCAAGGGATTTCTCTTGGTATTTAACTTTTTATAGTCATGAATAGTGCTTCAACCTGATTATGCTGTATGAATAAACAGAAAAAAATCTGAATAACACATGCCCGATTTTTGATCAAACCCAGCACATTCCTTCCATTATTTTTGAATGCCCATGTGTTATAGACAATAATACTACATTCAGAATGCATCTTTCTCTCACTCTTATTTATAATTTTCTTAAAATATAGTGTAAAGATACCCAACACCAGAGAGAATGCTACACTGAGGGGGTGAGGGTATAGGTCCTCTTAAAAGCAGCTTTGCACCCCTCCCAAGAGAAATAGACAGGCAATTTGGGGAGCAAATGTGGGACTGTTGTGGGATTTATAGCATGTCAGAGCGGGATAAGATTTGGGTTGGGGTGAACCATGGGTTCAATTCTAACCCACCCTGTTTACAGTTCCCCAAACGGGTTAACAAACTGGCCATATCGTGCCAGTTCGCCCACCTGAATCTCATTCATCCCATGTCACTGGGACTGGAAGTGAGGAAAAACTAAAACAGGGACGTAATTTTTGTTTCTCACGTTAGAGAGATTTCTTTTCACTTCCTGTTGTGTCTACAGGACAGGAAGTCAAAGTAAATCTCCCCAGTGGGACACAGATGGCAATAAAAAAAATCACAAGAGTGTTGGTTTTAATCCTTTCCTACTCTTTCCAAAATAAACTGACTTTAGATACATGTTAAGGAGGCCTCTAATTGGCACCTTAAGAGAAACAAATGCGCATCCAATTGAATGTTTATGGAAGAGGAAGATTCCTTAAGAACCTTTCTGGTCTAGGTCAGTACTAAGGACAAATATATTATAGACATTTCAAATTGGAAGGAATTATACATATGATACAACGTGTGCAAGTCAATTATCTACAGTGGGAAGCTTTGAACCTGTAAAACAGATTTTGTGTATACACAATGAAGTGCCCTCACTGCATGATCTGTCAGCAAAACAATTAACCCCTATAAACAAAGGCTTGACATACATAGAGGTAATATAAAAATAGTAACGATACACTCTGACAACAATGAATAATGGGCCCGATAATGGGCAAGGCTATAGCTGTATAACCAAACAATTTAATTACCAAGATGGTTATAAGCATGTTTTGAAGTACTATGTACATGAGGTAATAGCGGATGAATGTTACTGCCAAGATAACCATTTAGGATTTCTCTGCTTGACACTGTACTGCCAAGGGAAATTACACTATGTGGAATGTTAATACTAGCTTGATATGTTCATACATTTTCCTAGACGGATAAATCTATAGTAGTATGTTCCACCTCTTTGTGATATAGTTTATAAGGCTTATTGTGTGTTTTTCTTACCTTGTTTATGTTTGGCATAACTGTTTACTGTTGTATTTATTTACTGTACAATTCTTTGTCTTTGTTTAGTAAACCAATATCATATGTATTTATCATACTCTTAGCTATCTTGTCTTTCCTGCTATTCATATTTACTAAGGATTAACCAGTAGTGAACAGTCACATCCAGTTGTCATGGTTACAAGATGTGACCCCCACGTGTGTTTTTGACTGAATGTGTCAGACGGCTCTTTGCGTCAGGTTGAAACTTGGTAAATGACTGCTGGAATGTGCAATGGACTGTTATGAGTACATATATGATATGTATAAAAACCATTCCATGACAAGTGTGTGCATCTGTCATGTGTTTGTCAACTTGTGAGTCTATGTCTGAAAAATATGTCTTATGAAATGACAGATGGAGGCTGATGTTTAGCAAAAATGTTCTTACTACTGTACTTTTTAGACCTCATAAATTTAGTTGCATCTTTTGTACCTTAATAAAAGCATCTTGTATGTCCCTGATCTACTGACCGTTTTAGGATCTTTTTGCCACATTAAAATATCATAATTTCCATCTCCCAAAAAATACAAATATATGTTCCAAGAATGGAAGCAAACAGTTAAACTAAATGTATATGTTTGATTGTACAGGAACGGGTTACTGTACACCCAGTTTACAATAAACTATAAGAACAGAGATTAAAGATGAGAAAATTGTAAAAGCTCTCCAAAAAAACAGTGTTGACATAAGAAACAACAGAGTCTAATATCATCCATTACTTACTCTTTCACCAGGTGGGCCGGGAGGACCATCATTTCCTGATGTGCCCTAAACACAAGAGACATAGTATATTTTTCAGTGTACATATAACAGAGTTAAATAAATATATAATATTGGTTTGTAGGTGTTTACAGTCTATAATATTCTATAGTTTTCAGAATTTTAATATAAGCTAAAGAAAGAGTCTAGACAAAACTATTTCATTTTTTGGAAGATAAAGGAGGAAATAAAGCCACCTATTTTTCACTAAAACTATGGTAAGATATCTGTAGGATGTGCTGTAGGACCATGGACTTAATCTGGAACTTCTTGCAGAAGAGTGTCACAGAAAAGCTGGATAGAAGCTATATCTGGACATTATGAGAAGGATGTATTGTCCATCAATCAAAGCATTTTTGAAGGCTATCAGAGGGTCAAGAGGCGGATTTATTATAGATAGATTTACTGCAACATAAAAAACGTAACTGCTCTTACAGTGTCATGTATATGACTGACTGGTCTCACATGGTCACAAAATACAAAGAGATTGCTATTAAAGTGCCTACTGCTACTTCAGAATACCTGTCCATGTTTGTGCTCTTTTTGGGTATCCTGTACCCTTAAACCCTCTCTCCAAGAGTTGGGTTCAGCAATAAAAGGCAGAAAGACTAAAGTGATTTGTGTCCAACTTATTTTTCTCACCACCATACAACAAGAACTAGACCCTGAGATATAATATTAGCCTGCAACACTACTTAGGCTAGGTTCAGATATGGGCGATCCCAGGACATGCGTCCCGGGACCACATGATCGTGCACACAGTGATTGCCACACAGCCCTATTGATTTCAATGGGGTTATATCCGCGCAGCAACTGCTAATAAAAGGTACATGTACCTTTGGTTGCGATACACTTTGTGCTGCTTTTTTAGTTGCAATTGTGTTTAATTGCAGGGGCGGTATTTGTTGCAAAGAGAAGTGAAACTACAAGGTCAGAACTGTGGCAGGAAGATCTAGCTGCTGGAATTAATATAGCTGCTGTAATTCATAAGAGATGTGAGAAGCCACTATGTGCAACAGCCCACCCAACACTAATTTTCACATTTGGATAGACTAACATTTTATTTTTTTTTAACATTTACTATACTGTATTTTGATTGATGTAATATAAAAATAAAGCATGATATGTTACTGGCCTTACTCTGAGAAAACTGAGAAAAAGATGATAATTACCTTAGCACCTGGTTTTCCAGTAGGACCCCTTGGACCTCTAGCGCCCCGTGGACCCTGTGTGAGCAAATAAATGAAATCCATGAGTCTTCTTATTTACATGGTAAAACTCCTAATGTGGTCATGTTTCAAAGATCTAGGATACAAAGCAATCAATCCAGCAGGCAGTTACAACTGTGTGCAACTTAGAAGAACACTCACCGTTGGACCTCGTTGTCCCCTTGGACCTGGTTTTCCAGCAACACCCTAGTGGAACAGAGACACATATCTACATTATTAAACAGTCAGGAAGTATAATTTAAGAAACCAATGAGCCTTATGAATGTCAGACATCTTCTGTTCCTGGTTTAATTATTTGTAGATCTCCAGCTGTTATGGAACTAGACTATAAAATGTACTGTCAACATATGCACATTAAACATGTTTGGTTATATCCTTAGAATGTATTTTTTGTATTAAATACATGTATTAAATACATGATCAAAATTGCCATATTAATAGTATTTGTCTTATAAGAGCAAACACAAAGAAGAACATGCTACATGACCCAAATATTGACTGCATGTTAGTTATACAATGCAAATGTAATTTCAACTTTAATATTTTCTGTTACTTGTCCAAAATTACAATCTAATCTAGTTTATCCAGTCTAATTCTTTCATTGACATGTATGACCTTGCACAGCAGCTAAATTATATAGAGAAATATATGAATGTGTAGTGTTTTTTGGTGAAGCGGAGCAGAGTGCCATAATATTCTTTGCAAATATCATACCCGAGCTCCTTTTTCCCCATTGGCTCCTGCAAATCCTGGGAATCCTGTTGATCCCTAGTAAAAGGTTAAAAAGAGAAGGTTCATTATATATTATTCATCACAAATATCATTACCACATAAACTACCACATAACATATGTAGGGCTTAAAACAAAAAAACCTATTAGGTTTAACACTAGGACACCCAGTGAATATTTCCATCTCCTTTTTTTATATAATTGTAGAAGAAATGACAACACAAGAACAAATATAAGGCCTAGGTCAGAACTGATTATGTTTTTTCTCCACCTGCTGTCGTCCTCTCAAAGCCGAAACAGTCTTGCATTTCTTGGCGTTCTGAAAGCTCTACCAAAGATGTTATCATTACTTACAGAGGATATGGCCTACACATTAAAATGTTTTTCTTACCAGAAGTGTTCAGATCCGGAAAGCATAGAAAAAAGATTAGAATATTTCATGAAACCAGCTGCAAGTCCGCACAGTCAATTAAGGTTTTATCCTCACTGTCTCTGTTCATTTAATGATGCTCCAGAAACTCAATAAGACAAAGAGAATCTTTTCATTCTGAAGTCGAATCAAGCTCTTTAAACCTTATGTTAACAGGATTGTATTAAATAAAAATTAAAATTAAAGTGCCTAAAATGACCATTAAGAGACTTATTTGGTTTAATTGGTGACTGTATGTAAATTATAGTGCCCTTTTGGTTTCCCTGATAAGCAATCTATAATATATTTTATGCTATGTAATAGAAGTAGTTTGCCATCTGAGCAAGAAAAAAAAAAGGATAACTAAAATTCGCCATCCACACTCTTTGACACTAGCATGCATGTAGTAAGTGTTATAGAAATATGTGACTACTTATACAACCTAATCACAAATCATATTGTATTACTCTTGCAGCTCTAAACTGATGGGATGAAGCTGAAGACTGCAAACCACTGCCGTTGTCACTGCATTATTTTCAAATGTATTCAGTAAAACAGTCAAAAATCGATATTGATGCGGTAAGGGCAACACTCCATAGCAACAGCAATTACATTTTTATTTATTCTAAGTTGATTGGTAATAAAATATTCCTGTTTTCTGGTTTTAGGCTTCTGCATGTTTTCTATAATGGGGACATAAGCAGCAGTAAATATATTTTGTAGTAGAGTGGGGAAGGGTTAGAACACCTGTCAGGTTTGTATTGCTTTCAGGCTATTCAAAATATTAATGCTGATTATCAGTTTATTGGGTATAAAATGATCTCAGATGCCCCATTTATCCATATGAGTATGGATACTTTAAGAACCCATGTTGATGTTTTTTTTTTTCACATCAGTACTGCTTCTTTCAACCTACGATTCAATAGGAGTGAAAAAGCAGCTTGAAGCAGGTTGATGCAGCATAAAAAGAGGTCCACTGCTGGTCAAAAGGAGGTTAGCTGTAGGTCAAATGCACCTGTCAATTACCTATAAATGATCTCAGAAGCATCTCAAACGTATCTCAAATGCAAGTGGAATGCAACTAAATCATAAAAATCTAAATCAGTAAAGTTCCCTGCATCTAGTAAAACTGTCTAAAAATTAGCCTGTGTTGTGTTTGTCTTTTTGCATTCCGGTCTTGGAACACTTAATATTTTCTGAATAGTTTCTAACATAAAAAAGTAATGATAAATCAGAACATGTTAATTATAGATGACACATGAACAACTACCAGTTGTGTACTGAACTCTCTCTGAAAGACCAATATGGACAAGGAAAAAAGACATGGACTTTATCCAACTCATTCCCCTTTTTTCTATAACTGAAGCAGTGAATTAAACTTTGGGGACAAAGAGAAAATCGTCAGACTCGTGAGAAGAAAGTGCTTTGTTCTCATGTAAGAACATGATTGCAAAGCGCCAGAAAGGATTCAGCGTGTTGTTTTATGTAAAATAGAAGCATCTGGAGCAACCCTCCTGATGCACAGCACTGTTTGCTCAATAGCAAAATAGCAGAAAGACTTTGATCTCAGGATGTGGCAGAAAATCTCACTAGACTATTGACGAACAAACACAGAATGGAAACCAATCGATGTGACAGTCTTGGTGAAAATGAGGCAGCTTTGCAGCAGGTCAGGTGCTTGTACAAATACAGAAAGGACAAAATTGGCACAGTTGTGACTTGGTGTCGGCTAATGCTACAGAAATACATTACATTTGTAAACAATATATTCACTCTCTATTACAGTTTTTGCAGAGATCTTGATTAAAAAGACAATGCAAAACTGCTAAACAAGCCCAGGCTATCGCTAACATAATAATACTAATGCACAAATATTAAATGCAACCACTGCACTTTAGAAATTAGACATTAAAAATATATTACTATTAGAGTTTCAAAGACAGCTAAATGCTTTTCAGATCACTGTATTGTAAGAAAGGATAGGTAGATAGATAGATAGATAGATAGATAGATAGATAGATAGATAGATAGATAGATAGACACACACACAGGGGGTGATTTACTAACCTAAACACACGCACGCACCAGGTGCGTGTGATTTTCACACAGCAAAACGTATTTATCAACCAAAAAGTCTCTAAAAGCATATTTCCACTAATGCCATATATGGAAAAATCATGCACATGATGCATATATAATGCTGCTTCACAGTTTAGACAAAAATGGTTAGCTCATGCATTTACATTCCTGCATTCATCAACGCAAGCAACAAAACATAGAGCTAATTTACACAACATCACCTTGCAATTTATGCTTGGCTTTGCACAACACACCTGCTGGGTGTGTACACACTACAAAGGTGTTTAGATTCGACCCATAGATCATGCTGGGAGGGAACACACTACAGAGGTGTATACATGTTCGTGGTGTGTTTATAAGGTTAGTAAATCAACCCCACACTCTCCTCCTACCCTGCTCCAATGACGAGCCATCTCTGCTCATGTGCAGTGTTTGTGGAGAGCATGTATTCGAAGGTATCAGTATAGAGACATTTAGGGAATGAATGTTTAATCTTACCTTTGGACCCTGTCGGCCTGGGTATCCAGGCAAACCGGGAACACCAAGCTTGCCCTGAAATGCAAACACCAAAAAGGAATGGTTAGTGAAACCTAAAGCTATGACAAACTTTTATTGAGGCTCTGATTATTTTTGGTAATATAAATTATGTTCTTGAGTATTTTATTGAGCACCAAACCTTATGACCATATGAAAGAAGTAAAATAGGGATCTGTCAATGATTATTAAACAAAAAGAAAGAAACAAGGGCAAGATAATGATCTAAATGCATGTAATTCTGTATTATTTAAATATATTATATTAGTTAGGTTTCTACTGAGCCACTGAGGCAGTGGGCTTAAGGCACAAGCTTGAACTACCAGAATTAAAGCACATTACAGTCAGGTTTTAGTCTTGCTTTCTCTCGGGATAAGGGGAAAATATATTCTGAAGTCTAGATGAGTAACTTGTGGATCAGGGCTGCAAACTGGTGGTTATTAGTACATTTAAGGGATCCCCTGACTGTTAGGAAGATATGCATTGGATATGTGAAAAACATATTTTGGGGATCTCAAACAACACACTAAAACTGGGCCATCTAAGTAAAGAGGTTGAGCATATTAGAGCAAATTTAAATATTAGGTTTAGTTTGCCAGCATACGTGGTATTTTTTAAATTTCATTAGCCCAGATGGGGACACAACATTTATTAGCAAACAGATATGAGCTCATGTATGCAATTTGATATCCTCACAACTACTTGCCTTTTCACCAGCTGGACCAGCTGAACCAAGATCTCCATTTGGACCAGATCTTCCCTTTGGACCTTCAGGACCATCTTCTCCTCTTGGACCTAATGGGCCTACTTCTCCCTATATTAGGCAGGTAAGATAAACCATCGTTAAAACATATGCTACAATATATATATTTGGATGTTAAAGGGATTAGCCAATTAAAACTTTTAATCAAACCAACAGACATTTGATACAACATCGTATGTCTTCAGGAGCAAGCAATGAAAGACTGGAACAAAAATTTTGTAAAATACACAAGCCCTGCATTGAAAAGTTATACTATTCTACATGTTAAATGTTAGCCAATTAAGCTACTGGTTACCATGATGATCTCACAAAGACTGATTATTCATTAACACCTGACTATATCTTAGGATACAGTAATTCATTTATATTGTTCTTTCTAACATATGCAGGACGTCAACATTATTTGGAATGACTGTGTTAGTTTGGATTTCATATTTTACTTTTTCATTAGTTTAATGCACATAACATTGCAAATAATGTGCAAAGCAGTTTTAACATAAAGCTTATTATTTATCATAATCTGTTCTATTATTCTGGTTCAGCCCACAGGTTGAACAAAAGAAATAGAATCGTGTATACCCGATTTTAGAGTACTTTGCAAATCCCAGATAAGCAATCAGATCTATTTATAGTTCCTAAATTAGGACAAAAGTATTGATCAAGTCTGAGTGGCCCCACAGCCTACACCCAGACAAAGCAGCTATTCTAACCAAACTGACCAAACGACCAGAATACTAGTCAAAGTTTTTTTTAGAGAGGACACACTATACAACAAGATATTTGCTGTCATGATCCATGAGTACAAACTATACTATTTTGGTGATTTGAAAGGCTTTAGTGCAAACCATATCCCATGCTGAGCCTAAGAATACAATCAGGAGCGATTTTTGAAGCAGGGAAAGGTTTAAGTGTTTTATGGAAAGAAGTTGCATTTGACATAAGCTCATGGTAGAAAACAATTCACAAAAGTCTAAAGTCTGTAAAATGTCATAGACATTGTTAACTCCTGGTGTGAATGCGGGATGATTTAGTTACAGTTCTAAAATTAATATCTGTTAAAGTACTTGCTACACTGAGAAATTATGTAAAATAGGCTCTTCATTGAATTGCCACTGTAATGCAAATTTTATGGAAATGCGCATCTTAGAAATGAATGAGAAATGTGTTTAAACTACACTAAATTGCAATTTGCTGTTTTCTGAGCCACTCGCAGAACCTGAATACATTGTAAGCAATTTGAGTACTAGGAAGGGCCATAGTATCCAATAGAGCAATGCGATTTTAAAACGGGCTCAGTCACACCGTTATTTATTCTCATTTACTTAGGGGAGGTCTACAGCACAGTTGCAATGTTTATGTAACCAATCAAACCTTTGTGTTTTTGACTTGTATTTGAAAAACAGAAGCTGGAATGGATACGCATATTCTGTTCCACACTAGCTTCACAAACAAGTCAAAGTACAAAATGTAGCCACTTTATGGAAAATAGTAAATACCATGGAGCCATTCACAAATGTCTGTGTGCATTAACGCACATTTTTTTTTCCGTGCATTGAATCACATTAAATCATTGTATGCACTTGGAATGGATAACTAATGAGCCTCAACACACTTAGAGACATGCCTCCAGTATTTTCGCAGTGCAGCGCATCACAACGCACAGAGCATTCACATCTGTGCATTGTGATGCCCTATAGCGCATGTTTTAATAAAGTGTATGTTAACTGTAACAATAACCATCTCTTATTTGCACGCCATACTATTAAAAGCATTTTGGTATATCTGTTTTATAAGTGCATAAATCCTGTTGATCTTGTCAGAAATTTGAAGCTGTCCTGTGTCCCCTGCATACTTCCTGTGTTCTCTAAAAAAAAAAAGAAGATATTCACACCTCCCTGTTCTTTCTCGTGCCTCTGCTTTGGAGATGAAGGCAGTGCAAAGGATTGAGTAGTTTGGCCAAAGAAAACTGGAGAGGGTTGACACCACTGTTTTTGTACAAAAATATTGTGTTTTAGCAGCCCTCAATAGGAAATTAACAGCTGAGTGCATATCTGGCAGATCAACAGATGTTTTTCTGCATTTGCAGGGTCTTTAAAGGTATAAGACAGAGATATATTGCATTTCTTTTTTCCCCTTTAATGCAACACAAAAGTGTGAATCCAGCCTAAGTTTACATGGTGTGGCAAAATTATACTCACCCTGTCTCCCTTTAATCCCATATCACCCTTAAATCCTGGGAATCCATCTTCACCCTGAAATACAAGTAAATCACAATTAATATTTCAAACCTCTAACAACTGAAATGAGCACAAGTGTTAAAATAAACAGGTGCATTATCCATGCAGAGATGTGCGTGTGCAAGGGCTTTGGATAAGTACTTAACCTGCGATGATCAGCAAAAACATTTTCAGCAGCTGGAGATAAAGGCTACTGAATGCATCCACTGTATGATTACATATTCTGAGTTTTTTTTTAAAAAGTGCCTGTCACCTAATTATGCTGTTTGGAATATTAAGTATCCCTTATGTTTGCCATACACAGAGCAGATGCAGCACCTCAGAGCAACCCTTAAGCAGCTGGATCTTTGGTTCATCCAAAAATGAATTTCTTCAAAAGATGTGGCTGTTCCATGCACAAGTAGAGCATCCAGCCACTAAATCACTAGGAGAAGTCATTAAATACCACATACACACTTAGATGTAATCATCATACAGCCGTATTTCCTTCTATTTCACACTTAGTACTTAGTTGTTGCTTTAGATACTCTGCAGCTATAGTTATGCAAATCATACATCTGACCATGTGGGTAGCTGACCAACAGATATCGCCATATGTTTTTAATTCAGCATAATATTTTAGCATGTGTACAGTGACATTTTTCCATGCTATAAAATCTTTGCAATAATCACTGATTTCAGTGCTGATTACTAATAATTAAATGAATTATTAATAGGATTGAGTCAAGTTTACCTAAAATAGCTACAATATTATAATAGATGTTCGGTGTGCAACCATCTGTATGCATTTAGTGTTTCTGCTTTGTATCTATAGTTCACTTGCTTGCAGTATTGTATATTTAAATACATTCTGTTTTCTGTAGGATGGGTACAATGCACTGCATTGCAAACTGGCATGTGTATGTCATATGGTGAAGCCCTTCAGCACAACTTTGTTGTGAAAGGTGATCCTTTACAATTTATAAAGACAAAATGACATGTGCAAAAGGTATTTGATGAAGTGCACCGATCATCCTGGGCTGATAATTGGATGTCACAGGTAATAATACAGCTGAAAGAGTAAGTCCTTGGCTGTGCTACCTAGGACAGCTATAACGCTAATAAAGAGAGGAAGCAGTGGCAGGATTATAGTGTGTTTGCTCACATCTAATGACCACTTGTAGATGGTTCAGTACAGTAGTACACAGAACACCTGCCAGCCGCACAGAGCACATCTCAGGATTAAGTGTTATTAGCTTAGCTAACAAAGGAGAGCTCTGCTGTTTGTCTTGAATTATACACGTGGAGTGTAAAGAGTCCAACATTCCTCACATCTCTGTAATCAGCAGTCAGTGGAACTCTTCAAACAATGTAAAAATAAACTTAAGAGCACTGATGATGAAATAACAGAAATCTTTTCTTCCAGCCTGAACTCTAGTTTTAATGGATTTTGGTTTTCATTCAGTAGTGGTTAAAGAAATGGAAATAAAATTTGAAATAATTTTGAAACCACCTTACAGGTAAGGTTTATGGACTGTACCTTAAAGTGTATTTCCACTTTCGCAGGCCAAATTAGGATAACACCTATGTTATATGTGTTATATGTTCTCATTCACATTGCTTTTAAATGAATACATGGAAAACAAAACAAAGAAAATACTGCGACGTGAGAAGCCCAGTCAATGACCTGTAAAAGTCACATGATTGGCCTTTCCTCCTATCACAGATTGTTCTCTGCAGAAAGCACTCTGATTTTTTAATGATATCCATTCTCTGTTATAAATAGGACCCTGAATTTGCCTAACTTATAGTAATGATGACAGACCCTCCCACTTACCAGTTTGTTTAAGAAAAAACAGGTTAAAAAAGAACTGTAGCCAAAACTTTTTTGTTTTGTTTTGTTTTGGAGAGAGAAAGGGTGGGTTAAACCCTTGTCAGCTTTTAATACAATCTGTTTCCCATTGGGGAAGTTTTTCTTCATTTCCTGTCAGGAGGTGAGAGGAAATCCATCCAAAGAAAGGAAAATCCTTGGTGGTCAGCAGGTTCACCAGGACCAGTGTCCCCATTGGAGGAATTTACCATCTATTCCTGCTTGAAGAAAACCTACAATTTTGTAGTTTCTTTTACTTTCACCTTCAGTGATAATGACCAGGACAAATAGAGAGGGTTAATCTCCCTAATGGGGACACAGTCATTAATTTAAAAAAACCTGATGTTTTAATCCCTTTGCACTCTATCTGAAACTAAAAGAAAAAATAGTTTGGAGTTTCACTTCAGAAGAAAATCTGGGGCTGGTTTACAAAAACTAGTGCAAAAATACTATGGGGTCTATTCACTAAGCTGCCGTAGGATCTAGCCATAGCTTCAGCTGATCCTTTGGCTAGCTTCGGCCCCAGGATAGCATATGCCTTCGGCTCGACTGAGCCGCTCGGCCGACTTCGGGTGGAATGGGCTATAGTGAATAGCCCGTACAGCAGCCCTTCGGTTCTAATGAACTGAAGGGCT